CACCATGTGATCATGGCCTGTCAGCAAAATTTCAGTGTGTCTGTCTCCAGCCACGGCTCCATGACTTCTCCTGGACTTCACCTTCTTCCTCCCAGCATTCAGTTTAGTTTTCTCCATGTAGCTAAGTTCTGCCTTGTTATAGGTCCAAAGCAGTTTCTTTATTAATCAATGGTAATCACAGCACACAGAGAGAAATTCCACATCAATTCTCCTCATACTATTTCTGGAAATTTTGCTCTTGTTATGAAGAAGTGACTGCTACATTTAGTCTATAGATGCAAGCAAAGAATGAAGATGAAACAAATTATTGGAGAGTAATTTTATCAGGCTCTGGTTTCCTTTTCTCTTTCAGGTTGTGGTGTTAATGCTACTAAATTCTTTACAAATTGAAAAAGGCACTTTAATTTTCCCCTCTTAACTGCCCCATTAATTGAAAGTGCAATGCAAATAATCAGAAATGTTTAAGTTGTTTTTACCTTTTAAATTGGTGTTTGACTTAATGAAAACTAGTAACATTGAAACTGAGAACCTCTTAGAAAATCAATCTATGCCCTCCTGATATGCAACACATTAAGATGCATAAAAGTTACTTTAAAACTGAAATACACTGTATTTTTTCAGATATTGGTTGAAGTTGTAGCAGATAAAATGGAGTATAAGTTAAAATTCCTTTAAATTTTACTTTTCCGAGAATCACCTGCACTGATGCTGGTGGATGATACACCACTGGGTAAATTTATTTATATTTTTATCCAGCCACCAACTGAGGTGATTAGCCTCAATTGATATATCTACAACACAGTCCCTATACCTAAAGTTCAGTAAAGCAGAAGAAAAGGGTAAGAATCAGAGAACCAAGAAGTCTACTGTCAAGTTATGATAGGAAAGATATATCATAAAGTTGCAACAATATGGCTTCCTAAAAAGACCTGAGAAATAACAATACCAGTTGACATAACAGCATACATAAAGTAACTCTAACAGGACTCCACTCACAGGTGATTAATGATTACTGAGAGGGAGAATTAGTCTTCCTTAATGATGAGCCTTCTAATGAGTTATTTATTATCAGGCGGTCACCACTAAAATTATATGCATATAAGAAACACTAAATGGACTCAAAAAGTTATGTTTGTTACTTTAATCCTCCCCTCCTAACTGCTCCATTATTTGTCAATATATATATGCCCCATATATGTCAGTAAATACACATATATTTCATATATATAATATGTTATGTATGGCATATTAACAATTTCATATATATATAATATATGTTATATATGACATATTAACAATACTTCATTGTTAAAAATAACAAAGTTTCAGAGCCCATAAATTTGATTAGTAGGAGGAACATAGGAAGGGTTGGAGAGATGGGAAATTATATAATTATTTTAATTAAAAATAGAATAAATTAAAAAATATGTCCCTCCTTTTCTTTGAAGGACATTGTTCAGCAGAATGTAAATTAATTTTTACACTCCAGATCTGGATTTTGTTTCTATTTTAAAGTGAAAAATGTAGATCATGGTTTCAGGAATTAGACAAAGTAATACTTTTTAGGAAAGAAAAGTTATAAAGTCACATTTGACAGCACATGTCTGACATTGCAGCTACTCAGTGGCTGAGGCAGAAGGATCAAACAAGTTAAAAGTCGACTTGGGCTATATATATAGTGAGTTGAACACAAGTCTAAGTAAAGTTAGTAAGATGTGACCTCAAGACAGATAGACAGACAGATAAATAGATAAAAGAAGAATGGCATATTCTCTTTTTCCCGTAAAAGGAAGCAAAAGCCACAATTGCTGGGAGGAAAGAAACCTGATTTCATCACCACATGATACAGCTGTTCCATATTTGAACGAGAAGAAATTTTTAGGATACATTAAAAGTAAGTTAATTACAGGAGACAACATAATTACAAAAACTTAAAAGATGTGTTTTATTTTGATTTTCGAAACTAAATATTTATGGGAACTTGAGCCAAATATTTCAGCCTCCTAGTCCAAGTTGCACTGAATTTTACTGCTGAACCAAGTATACCCACATTGCTGTGAAACCATCATCAAAATCCGGTTTTATAATTTTATCATTTTTCCTGCCTGTAACTCTTCAACTAAATACTTAACAAAAGCCAGGGACAGCATTTGATTGTACCTTTTATAGATTTTTGTCAATGATTTAAATTTGTTTGTGTAACTGCTCTAGAATGACATGCCCGACCAGTTCTTCACTACCGTATTAATTTGCAAGTATTTTTCATGCCCTGTTCGGATGTCACTTTTCTTTTTTATTAGGAGAGGATTTTTATTTTAAAAGTGTTATCTTAAACTGCAATAAATACAAGGATATTCATTAGACCACAATTAAATGTGACAAAAGTGAAATCATGTTGTCTAAATGCCCACTTAACCCACACAGACATCACAAACTCACCCTTTACTGACCTTCTATAAACCTCCCAACTTTTCTTTCTATTTATTAAACTAGAGAAAGTACACAAATGCATGTTGACAAATGCTAACTGTCCATAGTCACATAAAGACAGTAAAATCTCTGAGCCCATTACACAGAGGAAAAAAAGAAAGCTTGAATACTATTTGTAGGAGGAGAGATCCACTTGTTGGTTCCCGGTCACTTAGCACCAAAATAATCACACAGAAACTGTATTAATTAAATCTGCTTGGCCCATTAGCTCTAACTTCTTATTGGCTAACTCTTACATATTAATTTAACCCATCTCCATTAATCTGTGTATTACCACGTGACTGTGGCTTACCGGATAAAGTTTCCAGCATCCATCTCTGACTCCACCCTTCTTTCTCCCAGCATACAGTCTAGCTTTCCCCACCTAGTTCTGTTCCTCTCTGCCATAGGCTCAAAGCAGTTCTTTATTTATTATCCAATAAAAGCAACAGATAGACAGAACGACCTCCCACACCAACTATTCACTTATACACAGGGGCCTAGCACCCATCAGCCCTCATCAGAAAAATGACCCTTTTCTTTTTTCCCTCAGAGCATATTGGTAGTGTTGCATCCACAAATTTTGAGATAATAAAGGATAAAAATGAATTTAAGCAAAAAGTGGGAGATTCTTTTTTTCTGTTGTATTTTGTTCAATATTCCCCAAAATTAGTTTAGAATTATGGTGTTGTGAAAAGAGAGACATTGAAAACAGTGCAACCAGACACAAAATGAATGTAGGAAATGACTACAACTTCCTTCCAGAGACTAAGAAAAACTAAAAATTAAAAGACTAAACTAAAATAAACACTGAATTCCATCAGTGCTCTGTTGTATTAGTCATCTTCTCTTTCATCATCCTCTCCTTCCTCCTCCTCATTATGTTTGTCTTCACCCTTACTCTTTTCATTAATGTCTTGAAATCCTTCCTCTTCATCTTCACCCTCATGATGAAATCATCTTTCCCCTCTCCTTCATCATCCATATCAATAGCCCAATAGTATTTCAAGCGATGTAGTCAAATATCTTCTTTGATTAATACTCTCAACTCATCTGTGCCTACATCAGAATGGTCAGAAAACCAGATAGAAAGCTCAATGATTCCTCATGCTGCCTCTTCCTGGAAGCCTTATTCTGCATTAGACTTGATCATTTTGTTAAATTGTTTCTAAATTTCCATTTGATTTTGGTGGGTTTTAAAGATGAACCATTACTCTAACTAAGATGAAATTCTTTGGAGACAACTTGTTTTGCAAAGTAATGATTCTCACCAAATACAACTCCATTTTGTAACCTGATTTTGTATCTTCAAATTCTTTCCCTTCACTTCTGGCAAAGTAATTCAGGGCATTATTGTCCTCCTATTTCAGCAGAGCAGACAATTATTAATGATTAGCAAATGCTACCCAAACATTTAGGATGTGCATCATCAATTCTGTACTCTCCTGAAAAAATGATTGGTCAAGTTTGTTGTCTTTTTTTATTTTTTAATAATAAAATGACACAAAAGATAACTGAAAATTAGCATTGAAGATATGACAGCGCTTATTTTTATAAAATACATATAAATTAAAACAAAAACATTAGTACTTTTATTAAACCAATTTGGTAACAGCATAAAGTTAAAGACACACTTAAAGGACATATGATAATCAGTGTTTTTTGCAGAGGGGTGTGTGTGTGTGTGTGCATACATATGCATGTGTGCCTTCGACAAATGAAAATAAATACTTTGAATTTCAGCGATGAAATATGATATCAAGAAAATTTTATGTTTTGTATACTTTTGTGCTACCTGGTAACTGAGGTTAATTTTCAAAACATGCATTATCCAGTTATTGACCATTTATTAGCCATATGCAACTCCTATTCATATGTGCCCTTGCTATTTCTGTATATACAAGACAATAGAAGGTAATCTCATTCTATATGACTCTTTCCATGGTGATAATTATCTACATATTTATAGTTAATGCATGTTCCAAGTTTGTCATTAGTGAGTGTCTACTAACTAACAGTTTGGAGCTTATGAAATGATAGGTATTAAATATTTTAAATATTTTGTATTATGACATTTTGTAGTAACATTAATCTTAGATGCTATTGTCTCCATTTTAGAGATGAGGAAATTAAGGCACAGATTAAAGATTTGTGACTTATGTTACTACTCTGGCTTCACATAATCTTGACCTAATCAAGACACCACACACTGAGGGGCCAATGGTGTCCGCTTGTCCCAGAATGGACGGAGGACATGAAGGAGCCACACAAAGAAAGGTCTGAGTGTCTGATAGTAGTAATGACAGTTTCTTCCTCAGCAATCAAAGAAATCATTTTACTAAATTTAATATGCCCCAGCACACTGTATCTTCAATCACATTTCTATAGACCAGCACTAAACAAATGGAGGCTGCTTTCACAAACTACATTCTCTTGCTGTTTTACTCACTGAACGTTTTAAGAAGCACATAACATCTACATACTTTGGGGTTTGTCCTATACCTAGTTTGTTGTCTTTTTTACTTTCAAAGTTGTGGTGACCTCGGGGTTAACAACTGGGCAGTGAGGACAAAGAAAGTAGAAGTGTTGAGCAGGGTTATGACAGCATTGAACATGACAGAAAGAATGTCCAGGAGTCAACTTCAGAGAGACAGCTCAGTTGATTGAAGGTATAGAGCCAACTGTAGTACAGCGAGTCCAACAATGATGGTCTAACAAAGGATAGTCCAAGAATCTAGTAATTGTTCAGTCCATGAGGCTAATTATCTCCAGTGGTCTTCAGTATACAGCAGAATCCTAAAAAAGTAGGCTGTAATGTCAGTGAAGGAATGGACTGGCCAGCAAAACAAAGTCAAGAAGACAAAGAGCAAAAATCTTCCTTCTTTCATGTCATTTATATAGGCTGCCACCAGAAGTTGTAGTCAAGACTAAGGGTGGACCTTCCTACCTCAAAAGACATAAAAGAGAGTCTTCTCAGTTTGAATGATTTAATTATAAAAACAATCCCTCACAGGTGTGCCAAGTTTGGGTTGTAAGATGTAGTGACGGTGACAACTAAGAATATCTATCACATGCCCACCCCTGTAACTTGACACATAATCATATCTCTTTATGTCATACTAATATCCAAGTGAAAACAATAACCATGTCACAATTATGTCACACACACATGTATATATATATACACAATAACCATGTCACAATTATGTCATATATATACTATTACACATACAACCATAAACACATAATATGTTTACCCAGGTTATAATTATGGCTAATATACTAAAATTATATATGCATATATAAATTTATAGTAGGTGGCAATATCTTTGAGGTACTATTTTTAGTATCTCAAAACTTAATATGATAACCAGTGATACTTTCTCAGTTGATGTTACATTACATGATAAAGACATTCCAGAAATAAAACATAAATAGTTACTTATACAAACACATTTTTAACAAATATGACAGAAACACTTATGTCAATTATAATCCTTATTTTTCTGCAACTGGTCACGTGGTCTTAGCTAGTATTTACGACTACCTTCATCTACCACCCATTCTGAATTTTCTCCATTCTCAGAAAGCCCTTCAGCAGGTCTTGACTTCCTGCAGGAGTGACACAAACCTTCATTATTGAAAGGTTTGTCACTTTATCATCCTACCTGGAATAAATTGTTGTAGTTTCCCACTGACTTAAATCACAAGATATGAAAACACCAAGAGATGTCCTAGATTCTCTTATACTTCAGATATAATCTTTCTTACCTCCATTATGGAAAAATAATCCATTTTACTCTTGGTAATCTGGATCAATCACTCCTTCTATCACTGTTATTGTTATTCCTTTCTTATCCTGTTGGCTTATGTGTATCAGAAGTCCAAAGTGGCCAGGGGGAAGTCTAGGCTTCCAGGTCAATAGAAAGTTTCTTATGTTTCCTGTCAGGATCACTGCTCAATGCTCTAGAAACGAAACTTGTAGGATGATATCGGAGTCCCCACTGTGTGCTGTGATTACCATTAATGAATAAAGAAACTGCCTTGGCCTATTGATAGAGCAGAACTTAGATAGATGGGGAGGACTGGACTAAACACAGGGAGAAAGAAGGATGGAGTCAGACAGACACCATGGAGCCACCAGAATGAGACACGCCGAAACTTTGCAAGTAAGCCACTGCCAAGTGGTGATACACAAATTAATAGAAATGGATTAAATTAGAACACAAGTGTTAGCCAATAAGAAGTTAGAGCTAATGAGGCAAACAGTGTTTTAATTAATAGACTTTCTGTGTGATTATTTTGGTTCTGGGCAGCCGGGATGAGTAAGCTACCTCCCTGCAACAGTAGGGGAAACAGAAATTTCCCTAGTAAATCACTAGGGGTGATAATATTTCCTCTTCTACCTCTTGAATTCTGGACCTGTGGATCCTAGCTATGGAAGAAATTATGCAAAATATTGAACTCCGATACATGGCATGCATATACAGTCTTCTGGAGACACTTGCCCCAGCCTCTATACTTATGCTAACTAATTGGTACTATAGCTGTGTCTTTGAAAGGCCATTCTATCTTTCTATTAGGCCAAATTCTGCAGGATCGTGGAGGATATGGTAAGACCAGTAGGCTCCTTTATATTGTGCTCATTGTTGCACTTCTCTGGCTGCACAGTGATTTCCTTAGTCAGAAGAAATATAGGATGGGATTCTAAGACCATGAAAAAACATGTCCACTGTAAGACATAGGTAGTATTTTGACAGAAACATTATTTACAGAAAAGGCAAATTCATAACCTCAGTAAATATTTGGTGTAGGAGGTCCTTCTGTTTATGTGTTGCTTTCATTAGTTAATGAATAAAGAAATTGTCTTTGCCTTTTGTAGGGCAGAACTTAGGTAGATGGGAAAACCAGAACTGAATGCTTGGAAAAGAAAGCAGAGTGAGAGAAAGCTGCCATGGAACCACCAGAGTCAGACATGCTGAATCTTTCCTGATAAGCCACTGACTGCCATGTGGTAACATACAGATTAATAGAAATGGGATAAATCAAGATGTGAGAGTTAACCAATAAGAGGCTAGAGCAAATGGGCCAAGCAGTGATTTAATTAATACAATTTCTGTTTGGCTATTTCAGGGATAAGCTAGCCAGACGGCCAGGATGAACAAGCAGCCTACCCCTTCAACAAGTATATACTCTAGTAAGTACAAAGTGTTTTTACCTTTTCCACAAAGGAAATGATCAAATGTAGACAATTAGTATCCAGGTTTCAGGATAATCATCACAGGGAATATCCAATGTTAGAGTCTCAGTGTTGGTGTGTTTTTGGCAGAATTGAAACTCAGCAGAGCTGTATCCAGGTCAGCCTTGGTGAAAAAAGAATAAGTTGTACAGCCCATGTGTAACAACCATTTCTACAACAATAGCCATTTTGCTAAGGGACCATTGGGCAATGGCAGAGATGTCTGAATAAAAAGACTGATTGTTCACAAAACACATCATCCTATCTACTTGATCATTGAACTCCTTGCCTGCTGAAGTCCCTTTTTGATGAGCATTCACATTGGGCACATATATCTTTATATCCTTCTTCCATTTGGAGAGAGCTATCTATATACTTTCTCCTCAGATGTCTTTCTCATGATTTTTCCAATCTTGCCCTTTCCATGTCCTTTGGCTATAGCCACCATTGTTGGTGGGTTGCATTCCCACTAACAATGGATGAGTGTTACGCTCACTCCACATCCTCTCCAGCATAGGCTATCATTGGTGATTTTGAGTTTAGCCATTCTGACAGGTGTAAGATGGTTTCTCAAAGTGGTTTTGATGTGCATTTCTTTGATCACTAAGGAGGTTGAGCATGACCTTAAGTGTCTTTTGGCCATTCGAAGTTCTTCTGTTTAGAATTCTCTGTTAAGTTCAGTACCCCATTTTTTTTAATTGGGTTAATTAGAGTTTTAGTGTCTAGTTTCTTGAGTTCTTTGTATATTTTAGAGATCAGACCTTTGTCTGATGAGGGGTTGGTGAAGATATTCTCCCAGTCGGAAGGTAGCCTTTTTGTCTTACTGACAGTGTCCTTTGCTTTACAGAAGCTTCTCAGTTTCAGGAGGTCCCATTTATTCATTGATTCTTTTATTGTCTGTGCTAGTGGAGTTCTAACTAGGAAGTGGTCTCCTGTGCCTATGTCTTGTAGACTAATTCCCACTTTCTCTTCTATCAGGTTCAAAGTGGTCAGATTAATGTTGATGTCTTTAATCCATTTGGACTTGAGTTTTGTGCATGGTGATAGATATGGATCTACTTTCATTTTTCTACAGGTTGACATCCAGTTATGCCAGCACCATTTGTTAAAGATGCTTTTCTTCTTCCATTGTATACCTTTACCTCCCTTGTCGAAAATCAGGTGTTCATAGGTTTGTGGGTTAATATCCGGGTCTTCTATTTGATTCCATAGGTCGACTTCTCTGTTCTTATGCCAATACCAAGCTGTTTTCAATACTGTAGCTCTGTAATAGAGTTTGAAGTCAGGGATGGTAATGTCTCCAGAGGTTCCTTTATTGTATAAGATTGTTTTGGCTATGCTGGGTTTTTTGCTTTGTCATATAAACTTGATTATTGTTCTCTCAAAGTCTGTGAAGAATTTTGATGGGGTTTTGATGGGGATTGCATTGAATCTATAGATTGCTTTTGGTAGGATTGCCATTTTTACTATGTTGATTCTCCCAATCCAAGAGCAAGGGAGGTCTTTCCATTTGCTGGTATCCTCCTCAATTTCTTTCTTCAAAGACTTAAAGTTCTTGTCAAATAGGTCTTTCACTTCCTTGGTTAGAGTTATCCCGAGATATTTTATGCTATTTGTGGCTATCGTGAAAGGTGAAGTTTCTCTGATTTCCCTCCCTGCTTCTTTATCCTTTGTGTATAGGAGAGCAACTGATTTTTTGGAGTTGATCTTGTGCCCTGACACATTACCAAAGGTGTTTATCTGCTGTAGGAGTTCTTTGGTAGAGTTTTTGGGGTCACTTATGTACACTATCATATCATCTGCAAATAACGAGAGTTTAACTTCTTCCTTTCCAATTCGAATCCCCTTGATCCCCTTATGTTGTCTTATTGCTATTGCTAGAACTTCAAGCACTATATTCAAGAAGTATGATGAGAGTGGACAGCCTTGTCGTGTTCCTGATTTTAGTGGAAAGGCTTTGAGATTCTCTCCATTCAATTTGATGTTAGCTGTCGGCATCCTGTAGATAGCTTTTATTATATTTAAGTATGATCCTTGTATCCCCAATCTCTTCAACACCTTTATCATAAATGGGTGTTGAATTTTGTCAAATGCTTTTTCAGCATCTAATGAAATGATCATATGGTTTTCTTTCTTTCAGTTTATTTATATGATGGATTACATTGATAGATTTGCGTATGTTGAACCAGCCCTGCATCTCTGGGATGAAGCCTACTTGATCATAATGGATAATTTTTCCAATGTGTTCTTGGATTCGGTTTGCCAGTATTTTGTTGAGAATTTTTGCGTCAATGTTCATGAGTGAGATTGGCCTACAATTCTCTTTCTTGGTTGTGTCTTTGTGTTGTTTTGGTATCAGGGTAATTGTAGTTTCATATAAAGAATTTGGTAATGAATGTTCTGTTTCTATATTGTGAAATACATTAAGGAGTATAGGTATTAGCTCTTCTTGGAAGTTCTGGTAGAATTCTGCATTGAAACCCTCTGATCCTGGGCTTTTTTGGTAGGGAGGTTTTTGATAACAGCTTCTATTTCTTCGCTAATAACAGGTCTATTTAGATTGTTCACCTGGTCTTGATTTATCTCGGTAAGTGGTACTTAAGCTATTGGACAAACACTATTGCCATTAATACAATTTCTGTGTGGTTATTTTGCATCAGGGAGGTCGGGAAACGAACTAGCAGCCTCTGCCATCATACTGTGTACCAGAGACTGTGTCAGAGGCTGAGAATTAATCAATAAAGACCCTTCTCTTACCTTTGAAAGTTCTCATCCTATAAATAAGGGAGAGTGTGTTGTTTTATGATTTTTTGAGGGTTTTTTTGGTCTACAAAAGTGTAGAAGATGGAAAGAAATATTTAAATATCCAGTAATAAATAATAACTAGAAACTAATCAACAATAATTTTCTGAACAAAAGACATAGTCCTTAATCTTTGGAAACAGTGAAAACCTTAGTAAGGTTTGCCTAACAAATCATAATTTATCGAGCTCTTTCTGTGTGCTAAGAACATAAAATGCTTTGTATTTGAATCAGCGAAAACATCCCACTAGTTTAGGAAGGAAGCATTGTTAAGATAATTAAATTCAGAAGTGAATTAGTTCCAAAATGCTATAGATTCTCAATGACAACTAAAATCTAAGAGGTGCAGCCTGATTTTAGATCCTACTTTCCTTAACTGACACTGTTATTTTTCATTCTACTCCCATCTTTGTATATTTAGCATTTTGCTAGGATATGAAAGTCTTATTTGTTGTGTGTTGATTCTAAGTAGCAATGCTTGAAAAACCCTGAGTACAGAAACTGATTCACACATCACATCAAATCTATGAGAGATTTTTATATTGATTTGTGTGAAAGCAGGCCAACATTCATCAAGTAGGAAAACTTTACAGTTCATCTCAGTCAATAATCATAGACTGACCACATCTCCCTGTCAATGTGCCCATTTTTAGTTGTGTTTCCAAGGCTTCCAGTAACTTCAAGACAAAGCTTCAGTGAAAAAAACTTTAGTTGTTTAGACTTATTTAAGTTCTCGAACATGTCCAATAATCAGTTTAAAAAAATCTATGCAACATCTTGTTGACTAAATTTTCACATTTTTAAATAATCTTTTTCTGAGTGTCAGGTAGAGTTTAGGTACTAGAAATAACACAATAAAAAGAATGACTGTGCTTTGGTGGACTTATGCTAAAGAGGAGCAAAAGCAAACTTGAGCAAGAGAAAGTAGGGGGATAGGGAAGAGATCTCAAGAGAGGTAAATGAGTCCTCTGTGAAGTGAGTTCTGAAACTGTCTCAGAGAACCTTCACAGTCAAGAGCCAGTGGGAAGGAAGAAGGGAGGCAAATTTGCTCACCATGTACACTTCATTGTTGACTCTCCCTTTTATCCATTAATTTCTGTGCCTGCAGAGTCTGTTATTGCTTCACCTTATAAATATAACATTTCCAAGTAGATTCTAAAATCTTAGCCTGCTGAATGTGTTTAAAGTTAGGGTTTCTAACGCAGAGGAATTTACTAGGTGCTCTGACTGCCACTGCATCGTGAGATGGCTGTGAGTGAATGACACATTCTTAAATGTCTGTTTCACTGGTCATCATAAAACTCACCATGAAAAGCCTGGATCCAGATCATCATATAAAATACAGCTAGCTACTAATTATTTCTGGTTTGTGAACAATGAAATTCTTAAACAATTTCTATTCTTTCTCAGAAAAGGATAAAAATCTGCACATATTTGGAGCAACACTTTCAGTTGCTCATTAAATACGTTAAGCAAGAAATGGGCAAAGTATTTTAGCAAAAAAAAAAAAAACTTAACCACAGAGGAATAGTATAGTTGGCTTTAAAATGTATTTTATTCCTTGAATAATATTTTATTCCTTGAATGCAATCATGCCTCTGAAATATTACATATAAACTCAGGGGTCAGTGCTGTTTTCCTCATGTATTGTATGTTCATGGAGGAGCAAACTGCTGGGATTATTTTAATTTATGATACAGACTGTGCAAAAAATTGGTGAACAAATTAGCCCATCTAGGATAGAAAATCACAAGAAGAAACGGGCTATAATTTTGTCAGAAATGCCTTTTTATAAAAGTCTTCCAAAAGATAGTATGCCCATTTTATTGATTTTTTTTTGTATGTCCACATAAATCACCAGATGCAGAAGGTATCTTGGGATCAGGGAAAAGATGGTTCCACTTGAGACTATGGCATTTTTGGTATCGAGTCTATTTTTTTTAATATCAGAGTTAGTACTGCTATTAAATTATTAAATTAAATTTTAATTTATTATTAGAATTAATTAATAAAATTAATCATTATATCAAGTAGTAAAGATTCTTGTTTGATTGTTATAAATAAACAATAGAAATTCCTGTACAACAGTGATTAAAATTGACTTAATGATCTATGCCCACTTCAACTTGGTTATTGTAATAATTTTAGAATATAAAAGGCTCCATTCAAAAATTCAAAACCAGGCCAGTATAATTTCTCAGTGAGTAAATGTTGCCACCAGACCTGAGCACCTAAGTTTAATCCCTGGGACCTACATAACAGAAAGAGAACTGACCCCTTAATTTGTCCTCTGACATCCACACATATACACCAGTGTACTTAAGTGAGCAAACACACACATACACACACACACACACACACACACACAAATGCACACAAAATAA